TTTTCATCAGTAGGCATCAGTACTCATCAGTAGTCCCACTGAATTCCAATAAATGTGGTTAAGTGCTCTCCAGGATCAGAACTTAGCTTTGCAAAAGAGAAGGTTTAGACACTTGTCTTAAAAAAATGAAAAACAGAGATTGCTAGCACTCAGTAATCAGGGGGGCATCACAGATTTAAAGGACTCTAAGGGTGCAGAAGGGCTTAGCTCAAAATAAGCCATGCAAATTGAACTACGTCAATTGCGTTGCTTATTTTGAAATAGCTTATTTTGAGTTTTGGTGCTGCCTACACAGCACTTATTTCGAAACAGAGAACTCTTCCTTTGACTTCCCTTACTCCTCATAAAATGAGGGTTACAGGTGTTACCTGGGAGACTTAGGTAAACAATTGCTGTGGAGCCTAAGAAATTAATTAAAGCCTAAGGCTGTCCCCCCACAGAAGATAGATTCGACCTGGTCATATGTATCTAATCACCGTTGGAATGGAGCCACAAATCAGGCCAGAGATTTAGGTCCAAACCATATATTTTGAAAATAGGACCACACAGCAACATACAACCATACAACTGTAATTGTCCCACCCTAACTCAGAAGGAAAGAGAGACAGAAAGATTCCCGTACACAAAAGGAGTGGCTTTACAAAACTTGGAGGTGGCAATGTGTGCCTACAACCTGCTACCCTGTGGCTAGTTTAAAGCTATAGGGGAGGATCAGCAGGGAGATCCCTCGAAGGTAGATCAGTCTGGATTCTGGAGCAGTCCTCGAGCTGGATCCTCACCTCCATGTGGGTTGACACCTTTAGGATCTGCTGACACCAGTCCTTCGGCTAGATGCACGATCCGTAAGCAGGACACGTAGTGAATAACAACAGTCCCAAAGTCCCACAGTACCAGTCCCAGTTTCCTTAAAAGGGAGGCTTCCCTCACACCTCAGGAGAACACAGCACTATGACTGGACTCAGGCAGTCCTAGTCAGATCACCACGCATGGATGGAGCTCCTCAGGGAAGACGATGACACATACTCACAAAAGGATGGAGAAAAACTAACCCGAGCTCTCCTCAACAGAGGGCTTATAAATAGCGACACACACTCACAAAAGGACGGAGAAGAACTAACCTGAGCTCTCCTCAACAGAGGGCTTATAAATAGTCTAAGGCAGGAAAACTGGGTTGGCATGAGGGGTGCAGAAAATAGGGTGGTGTGCAGAGGGAAAGAAGTCGGGTGCACAACTTGGATGCGCACGCATCATATTGGAGAGGAATGCACAGGGTGTAGGGCCGTGTGCACAGGCTAGGGTGTGGAGTGCAAAGCCTTCTGAGGTTATGTACTCTGTATAGGGTTTGGTGGGAAAACCGCTGAGGTAAAATGGAACCCAGCAGACTCCATTTTGATTATGATCTTCTCTTGGCCTGGGTAACACAGGAGTCAGAGTAAGAAGTCCTCCAGCTTGTCAGTATTTCAACATTATGTCAAAAAAAACCCTGCCAGCTGTGTAGACACGTCAAAAAAACCCTGCCAGCTGTGTAGACACAGACTGTTATTTTGAAATAATGCTAGTTATTTCAAAATAATGTTGCTGTGTAGACATAGCCTAAGTGCTGTCTGTTGCATCTACCTAGCTGCAATTTCCGATGTGCTCATTAATGTAATGTTTTAGCAGAGAAATACAAAAATATTTGATATTTCTGGAACGAAGCACTAAGATTTTGTTTCTAAGATTGCACTGAATGTCTAGAAAGAACTTTTTGGTAATGATTTAGTTCAATTCTTATTTTATCCAAATAGTTTATACATTCCTAATCCAGTAGAGGATCTGTCTCTATCCACCAGGATCCCAAATGAAAGGAGCAAATACAATCTCAGTTCTAATATATATCTGTCTGTGTAAAAGTTTAGAAAACTCTTCTGAGGAATAAGTGCCTGCAAGCCTTTTTAAGTAAAAGAAAGGCTGTTGTAAAGTTTTTTGCTCCAATTTCTCTGATATGCCTGTTTCTGCTTCAGGCAAATTACAACTGTTGGTTAGTTCATGTAACTGGCACTTTTCAGAGCTGCGATGAGGATTGGGTTTTGGAAAGCAGATTTATCTCCTTGTTAAAACAAATGGACAGCTCCTAACCTCAGATGAGGTTGGTTGTGCTATGAGAGTGGTGCCAACTTGTGTTTAAAGCTGCCCCAGTCAGGCAGCTGTGATTCAGCCAGCCACAAGGAATCTTCATTTGGTGTTGTCTCTGTCAGGAAGGGCTTAGAGATCAAATGGTTATAGTTCATGTTCTGACCATACTTCCTTTTTACAGAGCTCTTACTCCTCTGTCAGCGCAGCATCTCTACCATCCCAGTCTCAAATAAATTCTCAACCATGAAATGTTATGACTTTTATAATCCATTTACTGGCGTCCTACAACCTGGCTGTATGCAAAAGCCATCACAAACATAGGGCTGGGTCTCACACCAGCTATTTGCTCAGCCAACCAAATCAGGCATTTTACTTTTTAATGGGAAATTCTACATTTTCAAACCTTTCATTTTCTTTTATTTTGGTATCTCAGGAAGAGAGCCATTTTCTACAAAAGAAATCAGCTGCATAGAAAACCCACAGGTGTGATTTAAACACTGGTAAAATAGCAATTGTTCATTTAGATTTCAATAACCATCTTCATAACTAATCAAGAAAAGAGAATACATAAAGTATATAAATTACAATAGAATCCCTATTAGCTCTCTTCTGTGAAACAAATCCACTAATGATATGGAACACAATTGGACCCACTTCCCCAATCCAAATGCAAGAGAGCTGACATGATTTTCAGTAGTACTCCATATGACACTATCAAACACTGACTGATGTTAACCCATCAGGGCCAGCCAGTGCTGAAGACTCCTGGGCAGGACAGTAGTGGTTGCTACTCCAAGGCGTGGACAAAAGAAGGGGCTGTTTGGAGGGGCTAGCTACAACTTGTCCAGTTTCCCTCTAGTCAAGAGCTACCTCTCCTTCCTGATCTGTTTGTGCTATTTACCCTGCTTCCCTTGCTTTTGATCTCATCTTTATCCTAATACTGAGAGGCATGAAAGGGCAGGTACAGCACAGGATGGTCTGGTCAGGGTGGTTCAGAACAAGCAGAGTGCTATGAGGTGTCTGAACACTTAGTAGACAATCAGCGGAACCAAAAAGGACATGAGCAACCATCAAGTTCTGGAATTATGTTTTAGAACGATCCTTTTTCCACGGCTGTGAATGGTCCTCCAGAGATGGAGGGGGCTTCTGAGGGGAAAGGATCTGTCAGGGTGGCGAAACGGGTTACTTATCTAAGGCCAATCACAAGAGTTTGTGAATGGATGAAAGAAATGGGAATGAAATTGAATCAGCTCCAGGTTATCATCAACTTTCATGAGTGTTCTTCCAAATGGCCTCATCTGCCAACAGATATGGAGACATAAAATAAATGAAGGATGCAACATCTCAGGTTGTGAACATCCCAGAAAAAATGGACAAATAAAATAACTAAAAAGATTATTATTTAACAATACCATTATATTTTATTATATCACAGTGCCTCTGTTTTCCTTGGCATTAACCCAGTTAATTTCAAATTCAGCCACCAAGGAATCATATTCCTGCCTGGCAAGGCAGAGAAGCAGATTTCTTATGGCATACATCTAAAGATAGCAAGTCCAATTAATAATTGATGTGGAAGCATTATTTTTAAGGACCATTCCTAAAATATGCTTCAGTTATAGCTGTGTGAAACTCTGTTTACATGTTTAAAAGTCTCAGATGGGTACCTATTTTGGTCTGTAACTAAAACCCCTCCCCCTCACACACACAGTTAAAAACAATAGTGGCCCTGTAGTACCTAAGAAACTAACCAAAAAATATAGATAGAATCACGAGCTTTCGTGGGCACTACCCACTTATTCAGATGAAAACTTTGTCATCTGAAGAAGTGGGTTGTGGCCATGGAAGCTCATGATACTATCTATATATTTTTTGGTTAATCTCTGAGATGCTACAGGACCATTGTTGTTGTTTAAGTTTTTTAAGTTTGTGTGTGTATTCCAATGTGTGAAAGAAGTATTTTGCAAGAATTTCTAATTTGATCAAAACTTCATTTTCCCCCAGTAGATAGGGTGGGGGTTTTATTTTTCAGTGAAAATATTAAAATTCTCATACTGAACAAAATGTGGATTTGTTCCGAGATGTAATGTGCGTTTGTTTCAGGGAAATACACCCCTCCCCCCCAACAAAAAGAGCAAAATAAAAAATGTGTAACACTGAAAACTGCCTACAGTAGGATACTGGCCTACATTTCTCCCGATATGTAATTCCTGTGAGATCAGCAGTGTTTCTACAGAGGATAATCTCTAACTTGACAATGTCACTCAAATTCCTTGCAGGATCAAGCCCATGCAGGGAAGTAAACGTCATCCCACATTGGTCTATGTACAATATATTTGCAAAATATAAATCCTTCCAAAATTGGAATTCAGAAATCAAAGGGCCAATATGTAGCCTTAATCCCTGATCCTGCAAGAAATCAACATTTGAATCCTGAGTGCCATCGGTTCCCATTGTCTAGAACAGTTTGGCTAAGGATTGCACAGCAGATGATTAATTCACAGACTTAACTGTGGAGCTAACACCATGTTAATGGCACATTGAAATGTCAAGTAGTGCATATCTGCAAAAGTGAGACTATTGAAAATGGATAATTCTTTCTTACATTTCCTCTCCTTTTTCCTGTTGTATCAGTTTCTATATGTATCTAATGCTCTCTCTTCATCTGTCTCACATAAACTCTGTCAGAAACCCTGCCCTCCCTCTACTCTTTTCACAAAACAAGTTCTGAAATAAATTTAGAACTTGAAAAACACAGAGGAACATGAACACCTTTATAAATGTCTCTTTTATTTTAAGACAATGATTTTTAATAAACATTTAAGGGTCTATTAATTCTAGAACTTGTAATACTGACACGGGACTTTCTTCATTTCCCTTCACAGGAATCTCACTCTATAGCCACCCGTATAGAGGAGGCTTGCTAGATGAGGACAAAATGTAAGTAAACTGTAAATTCGAAAGAAAAGCCCCATGGCCAAAAAATGAATGTTGCCAATTAAAATGCATGTGTACTACATGCAGTAATTTGGCTATGCACAAATCTATTTAGCTATGCATTTCCACTGACAGTATATTGTACAAGTATATATAGGGCATAGATTAAATTGGGAAGAAAAAAAATCATGTATAGCTTTTTGTGGCGCTTCATCTGTTTCCTGTTCACAAAATGTTTGAGAGCAGGACACAACGTTTTCAAAAATGTCCATTATTTGAAATGATTTCGTTTATTCATGAATATGTTCATCCTCTACAAAGAGGGACAATCTTGCAAAGAGTTCACTCTAAATGTTCAGTATTCAAACTTTTTAAATGTGTGTTTTTAAATAAGTTGCTTAATCTTGTATCTGTTCTCTGAGGAAATGTATACACAGCAACATTATTTTGAAATAACTTAGTCCGCATCTATACAGCAGGCAATTATTTTGAAATAATGTCGAAATATTATCAAGCTGGAGGACTTCTTACTGCAACTCCTGTAACCCTCATTGTATGAGTAAGGGAAGTCTGAGGAAGAGTGCTGTATTTTGAAATAAGTGCTGTGTAGACACTCCCAATTTTAAAATAAGCTATTATGAAATAAGCTAAGCAAAATTCTTTACAACTGAAAGGACTAACACTTTTTCAAGGTATCTTTCAGTGATTCTTTCTTCCTCATAATAATTCTTCCCTGTTGATTCTCTAAAGCAGGACTACTCAACTTTGGAAGCCCCAGGGTCCATAATGATACTCACAACACATGCCGAGGGCAGCAACTTAACTGTGGCTGAATATATATGCAGATATATGCAAATAGCTTCATTCACACTGAGGGGCATGAATACAAAGATTAAGGCAAGACTATACAACACACAGGCCCCATTTAAGTCAGTTCTGCTGATATTAATAAAATGCAATATTTACCTGATTCCCACCCAACACTGGAAATCACTTTTAATGAGCAATGACAGTCCAGGAATTTAACTGCTAAAATGCCTATCAATGGGAGACCATTATATTGACTACTTTTTTGTTTTAGCTCCCACTCACGGGCTGCAAACAAACAGGCCGCGAACCTCATGTGTCCCGCAGGCCACATGCTGAGTAGCCCTGCTCTAAAGGAAAAATGTGCTCCAACAATCATCCCTTTTCAGTTTTTCAGGTTTATATATGCTTATGTATGTATATATGTTAAGGGGATTGTTTCTCAGACTCTCTGAAGTTTTACTGCTGAAGAAATTACATGGATTATTAGATGTACAGTAGTCTAATGCACCAAATTCCTGAATAGGGTTAGATATTGGTCAAGGGGCTGTATTTGGGCATTAGAATTCAGCATTCTCTTTGCTAGTATCTTAAAGATTCTGAAAAATAGTTAAGATATAAATGAATCACTTCTACTGAAAGAAAATAACTTATATGGTTAATATTTACTAAGGGTACATCTGCACTGCATGTTTATTTTGAAATAAGCTATTCTGAAATAGCTTATTTGATAATAGCATGTCTACACTACAGGGAAGCCTTGAAATTAGTCCTAAGCAGGCTTCTCTAATGTAGATTAGAGCCCCTGTAGGCACTGGGGAGGAATAACTTAGAATGGCTTTGGTGAGGGGCTATTTCGAAATAGCAGTAGTGCAAGCATCTACACATGCCTTATTTCAAAATAGATGTTTCAGAATAGGCATTATTCCTCATAGAATGAAGTTTACAGATTTTGGAATAAGCCGTCTGTTATTTCAAAATTATTTTGAACTAATGGAATGTCTGCGTAAATGCTATCATTGTTATTTTGAAATAACATTAGTTACCTCAAAATAATGATGTAGTGTAGATGCACCGTAATGGATACTAACCTCTCTATGTCTATATTTGTATTGTGGATGTGCCTTTATGTACATGATACTACTAATCTCATATTTATCGAGGTAAGTAGCAATTATTTTGGTAATAAGTGGGACTTGAAAACATTTGTCTAACTTAATTTTAAAGGATCCATTTTGTTTTGAACCCCAGAATGGAGAATGTTCGCCAGTGTGGAGTTGCACTGTGTATCATGTTGGGGCTCTCTATTCTTACGGCATCCATTGGTAGCTCAGTAGTGAAAGACAGGGTATCCGGTACAAAGCGGCTGCAGCATATCTCTGGACTTGGCTACAAGACCTACTGGCTTGCTAACTTCCTATATGATATGGTAGGTACTGTATAAAACAACATATCTCTCTGCATGGCTGCAGGTATATTTCTGAAGGGGTTGTTTTGAGTAGGCTCTAACTAATGGAGGAGTTTTTGTTCACAAAAAAATACATTTTAATATTGTGATATTTTATGGCAGCAATCCTGTTTGATTGGTACATGTTAAGACACCTACTCTGTATATATCTACTGAATTATATCCATCCATGCTTTTCCACACAAAGATAAAACACCAAAGGGCAGGTATTGTGTTGTCTGTGTTTTTCAAAGTTGATTAGTAAACTGCGCTTTCCTTAAGGGTGATATATAAAGCAGATAATGGAATATATGGGATCATATGCAATGACCCTTCTAACTCAGATATAGATACACAAGTAAAATCTCTATCTTATAAACACAGTTCCACTAAACATTTGAGTGTTCATTCAGCAAGATTAGATTTAATATAATTATTACAAACATTAATTCAGTCACCTGTAAACTAACATTCTTTATCTATAGTCAGTGCACAGAAAAATACAGAAATCTCTCTATCCTTTGAAAATAGCAAGGACGTTATTGTTTTCTAAATCTCTCCCAATCAGTTCCTTATTTACCAAGTGCAAAGACACATGAACAAGTAGGAATGTAGGATTTAACCCATGTACTTAAATCATCACTGTGATAGGAATTCACAGAATTCCACTCATAAAGTGTGACAGAGTAGTTTTTGTGCAGGAAGTTAATCTGGAAGGGTGAAATCCATTCCCTCACCCCTGCTTGCAACCAGGACGCTATGCAACCTATTCACAGTCACTGACATTTTGTGTCCCAGGTGTATGAGTGGCCCATGGATCCACATAATCATGGATTCTGTAATCCATCCACAAATAGCTTTTGCAGTATTGACCAATTCTGAGCCAAAGTAGAGCTCTCTTCTCCATAGTATGCTGAAGAATTACCTCCTCCCCGAAGAGCTCAGTAAAATGGGCTGTATATATAGGTACAGGTTGTTCCGTGCTGGTTCAGCACTCTTGGGCCTGAATGGTCCCAGAGGTCAATGTTGGCCCCTATCTTATCGCTGGCTGAAGGACTCCACTCCGGTGGCAACAGAGGGGCTGGCATTGACGGAATAGAGACTATGGTGGTGGGGTGATTTGGGGGGAAGAGGCAGGGTAACTGCAGAACCCCACAGTCAGGGGCCAAGAGTGCAGTCCTGTGGGAGAGAAACAAACACCATGGCCGCTGGTCTTTGTTCATGGCCCCCTGCTGCCATCTTTGGTGCTGCTCTCCTGGCCCCCAGACATGAAGCTCCACAGCCATCTTGCCTCATCCCTGAGTGCCCCATCCCCTCTCCTCCCTGAGCTTGAATGCCACAAAAGAGTCTCCACAGCCATCTTGCCTCCTCCCTGAGCTTGAATGCCACAAAAGAGCTATTTGTGTACTCCTTAAGCTCTGAAATGGCAGGGAAGGAGCTGCAGAGCACAGGGCATCTGGGTTTTCCATGAGCCCTGCATCCCAGAAGCACCCATGGGGATTCCAGATCACAGATGTTGCTGTATGAGGGAAGTCTGTACTATAGCGGTCCAACCATAATCTGTTTTTTAAATTTTAGTAAGGTTTTTTTCCCCCGAAGGAGATGTTTTCTGGCTTAAGACTGTGTTCTATTGCCTCTGGAACCAATTTCTGCAGTTTGATTATCTAGGAGCTCCACCTCCAAACCCTCCAACCAATCTGTGAGACAAAGGTGGAGCACACTTCTGCAGTACTCTTTACCCTTGCTGCTTCAGGGAAAGAAGGACTCATAATGCAATCCAGGTCTGGCACAGGTCAATTGAAACCACTAAGCACACTAGGGCTGTGTCCAGACTCAGGGGTTTTTTTCGAAAAAAGTAGCCTTTTTTCGAAAAAACATCACCTGCGTCTAGACTGCAGCCGCGTTCTTTCGAAATTAAATCGAAAGAACGCGGCTTTTCTTTCGACGGCGGTAAACCTCATTTCACGAGGAAGAACGCCTTTTTTCGAAAGTGCTCTTTCGAAAAAAGGCGTTCTTGAATGCCAACAGGGCTTTTTAGAAAGAGAGCATCCAGACTCACTTGCTGCTTTCTTTCGAAAAAGCGGCTTGCTTTTTCAAAAGTACTGCTTGCAGTCTAGACGCTCTTTTTCGAAAGATACTTTCGAAAAAGCCTAGAAAGAGGCTTGCAGTCTAGACATAGCCTAGGCTATTCTTGGGACACAGATTTTTCGAACATTTGTGATTCTAATTCAAACTATTCTGAACCTGAAACACTAGAACTTCACCCAGCTGTGTTCTAGAATGGGACTTTCACACTTGAACAGACTTAAAATACAAGCACAGTTACACAAAAAGCCACTTATTTAGCCAGTACATTTCTGTGTTCCCTTTGTTTTCGTTTCTTAGTGCTTGACTGAGAGTTTATTCCCTTCTAGTGAGGGCATGGCTTCTCTATATGCTTGATTATTCAGCAAAGTCCTCTTCTTGTTAGTTTTTCCAGTCTGTTGCTTTTAAAATATTATCACATATTCTGCATGTATCCTAAGATGGGAAAGAATAGGCAATGCTTAAAAGCTAAGCATACTTCAGGTAAGCTGAAGATTTTATGTGCAGGAATATATGGAAAGTCAAATGCAAACACCTCTTAGGCTTTTTAAGAGCATCATAAATCATATACAAAAACTTCAAAGGTGTAGCCAAGTTAATCTGTAACATGTTGTTTTTTAAGTTTTCCCATGTACAAAAAGAGGGCCAAATTAAGATTGCATGTGCAACCTTAACATTGACCATTCCTGATGTTTGGATACTGACCTCAAAAATCACCACATACATTTAATGAATGTTATGGAATTCGCTAGTGGAAAATATGGCCGAAAATTGTATTTGTGGAGCATGTTGCATGAAACTGTTTATAATGGTTCGTTGTATGTATGTGTGTTTGTGTTTCTCCTTAATTTGCTTTTGGGCAGTTACCAGTCTGGGAAATTTGCAGACTAACAGGTGAAAGTTTCTGAAAGTTATGAGCAACTGAAAACAGGTACAGTAGTATTAATGGATACAGTCGCCCAAACTTACTAATATAGTCCACCAGCCCTAATGCCAACATAAACAATGTATGTGGTCATTTCGCAGGGATTAAAAATTGATCAGCAGCTTGAATAATGTGTTGTGCAAACAGGATGAAAATAACACTTCCACTTCCTCGCATATGGCTCCACTGTCCTCTAATATCTTAGAAAATGACTGTGTCCATTGTGTTAAATTAGTTGGCAACTAACCAGTTAGTGCCCTGTAAATTGGTTTCATATTGATTAATATTAGAATTGAAAGGCCAAGGAATTTGGTTGAAGGGGAGATGACAGCAGGTTATACTACAAGATGAATTGTCATGCTGGAGGGAGGTTACTGGTGGAGTTTCTTAAGGATTGATCTTGGGGGTAATTTTTAATGATCTTTTCATAAAAAACGATGAAGTAGGTTTTACCCAGAGAAGCTCATGATATAATATATTAGTCTCTAAGGTGCCATGGGGCTGTTCATTGTTTTTAAAATTATAGACTAGCAAAATTTGTGAATGATATGAAGCAGGAAGGTAGAGTCAGTACAGAGGAGCACCGAAATATCATACAAGATGATCAGAATGATTTTGCAAACTGTAACAGAAATGGGATGAAATGTGATAATAAAAAGTGCAAGGTCATACACTTGGTACTAACAACAAGAGTTTCTTTGATAAGCTGGGGACTTCTCAGTTGAAAATGACACAGGAGGAGAAAGACCTGCGTGTGTTGGTTGATCACCGCATGGGTGGCATAGCCATGAAAAAGACTAATGTGATGCTAGGATGTACCAGATAAGGTATTTCCACTACAGACAGGAGTGCAATTCTGGTCTCCCATGTTTTAGAAAGTTTAATTCAAACTGGAGCAAGTGCAGAGAAGAGCTATTAGGATGATCAGAGGAATGGAGAAGCTACTCTACACGAGGGGACTCAAGGATCTTGGCTTGTTTTCCCCATCTGGTTGAAGGGTAAAAGGAGATACAATTGCTCTCTATAAATATATGGGAGGTATAAATACCAGGGAAGGAGTTATTAAGCTAAGGACCCATGTTGGCACAGGAACAAATTAATATAAACTACCCATCAACAAGTTTAAGCTTAAAATTAGATAGAGGTTTCTGACCATCAGAGGAGAGAAGTGGTAGAACAGCATTTTAAGGGGAGTAGTGAATCAAAAAAAATCAAAATGGTTTGAAGACTGAGCTTGATAAATTCATGGTGGAGATGGTATGATGACCCTGTCTACATATGTGACTGCTAATAGCACAAATCCCTAATGGCTATAGATGGGGCATTAGGTGGGAAGGGCTCTGAGGTATTACAGAGAATTCTTTGCCAGTAATCTGGTTGATGAGTCTTGCCAACATATTCAAGGTACAACTGATCACCATAGCTGGGATTGGCAGAGATCATGAAAGCTTGTCATCTTTCTCTGCAGCATGGGGGCACAGGTCACTTGTTTGTTTAAACTAGAGTAAATGGTGGATTCTTTGTAACTTGAAGTCTTTAAATCATGATTTGAGGGCCTTAGTAACTCAGCCAGAGTGTAGAGACCTATTTCAGAAGCAGTGGGTGAGGTTCTGTGACCTGCCACATGCAGAAGGTCAGACTAGATGATTATGACGGTTGTTTCTGTCCTTAGAGTATGAGGCAGTTCTTGCCTCAAAGAGCTTACATTTTAAATTGACACAGGAGACAAATCATGGGGCAATGAGCAGAAGCCCAGAGAGCTGAAGTGACTTACCAAGATCACATATCAGATCATTGGTAGAACTGGGAGAAGAATCCAAGTACAGGCAGTCCCCGGGTTACATGGATCCGACTTGCATCGGATCCCTACTTACAAACGGGGTGAGGCAACCCCGCACTAGCTGCTTCCCCCCATCAGACCAGGGAGATGCGAAGCTAGCGCCCCCCCCACGCCCCCCCACCCCTCCAGCAGACCAGGGAGACGCGGAGTGGCTTTTCTCAGCAGACTCCTCAGCTTGAGAATAAAGAACTGAGGGAAGTGAGGTGTGGGAGAATAAAACTGAGCTCTGGAGAAATGTTTGGCTAGAGTTTCCCCTACAATATGTACCAGTTCCGACTTACATACAAATTCAACTTAAGAACAAACCTACAGTCCCTATCTTGTACGTAACCCGGGGACTGCCTGTATCCTAACTCCCTGTCCTCTGCCTGATCCTTTGGACCACTCTCATTCCCTGTACAAACTGTTATGTTAATGGAAGATAGGGAAGGTTAGATTCCTGATGGTCTAGTGCATATGTTACTGCTGTGTGTAAATGCAAACAGTGTCAGCATCTATTAAAGCTGTTAGGTGATGCTTCATTTGCATATGTTCTTATTTATTAGTCATGCTAACACGTTCAGTGGTCTGCTATGGTTGCTGGAGTGTTCAAAGAAACGGTCGGCGGTTGTGGGTTGCTGCCTCTTCCCATATTAGAATGCATCCAGTGTCATTTGGGGCATTGGAGCAGCAGTCCCACATGGATCTATCGTGGGCAGGAGCTAGTTTCTTAAATTGACATCCAGTCATGGTAGCTAGGGTTGGAACAAAGGTAAATGTGTATGTTTGGATGGTATTTTCTCAGGGTTTTTTAGCAGGACAATACTCCAGATGCCCAGTTGCAGAACTACTGAGTACCAGGTCGCAGAATACCATGACCTACATATTTCTAGTGTGCTATGTAAAATAGAGTTGCTACTAATTCCAATGATACTTCCACGTTCATTGAATAAGACCACTCTGAGATGCTCACCTGCAATGTTCCTGTTTTTCTTCTCTTTTTAGCTATTTTACCTGATTCCAGTCGGCTTGTGTATCAGTGTTATTACTGCCTTCCAGTTATCAGCCTTCACTTTCCGAGAAAACTTGGCAGCCACAGCTCTCCTGCTGATACTCTTTGGGTATGTGATTGGGGATTCTGCTCTAGAATTATGACTTGTTTCTTACAAATAGAAATCTTTAGGCTTGGTTTGCACCTGCTGCTGGGTGCATGATTTTCTGTCTTTGCAAACGATTACGAGGCAGCAATAGATAATGAGAGAACAAGTTGCAGCATGAGGCTGAATGCACCATAGGGAAAAGGGAAGGGAGATTTGCTCACTCATAATGAGAGAAGTACTAAATATGTCTCAAAAACACACTCAAGCTGTACAACAATCTTTTACTATTAGAAACTGATTTTGTGGTGTTCTCACTGAAGGACTCATCTAGGTGCCAAAAATAGCTTGAATTTCAGTGGCTTGGTTACAGAAGCTGAAACTCTTTTATTATATTTATTGATGTGAGCAAGTTGGCCAAGTCTGAGCTCCAGACTGGTTGAGGATATACCTCTAACACACATTATGAGACAGGAGCGCACTTGCATGAGCCTGCTTCAGCTAATTTGGAAGTGAAATACTCATTTTAATTAATAGATGTTATGGTATTTGCTTTATAAGAAGTATATAGGAATCTCCATATTGGATCAGAACAATGGTTTATTTACTTCTATATCCTGTTTCAAGCAGGGTGATTGAGAGGAAAGTGTAAGATGAAGAATTATGGAATAAGCAGCCCATAGAGAGAGTTTTTTCCTGACTCCAAGCAGTTAAGGATTAGTTTGTGCACAGGATATGTATATCTTTTAAATGTTTCTTACCTAATATAGTGTCTTACAATCTGTATAAATATTGAATTATTTTTTATTCTTGCTGTTAACTATAAAATGTGAATGGAGAGCTACATATATCCTAACTTCTCTCCTCATCCCAATGGACCAGAAGCAAGTATCCAAGCCTGATTTAATGTCCATTGACACTTGTGGAATGACTTCTATTGAGTTCAGTGGGTTTTGGATATGGCCTATGCTGCGTGGTATGCTGTTACGAGATACTAGTGCTATGTTATACAAGTTATGGTTGAGGTTACTTGAGAATATGCAACTATTAATTAGAGAGCTTGAGTAGTTGCAAAAGCAGTGCTGTGGCTGGCTTATAATGGTGTTCAAATCAATAAGGATAAACCTTCTTGTATTGTGTGGGTCCAATCCAGCTCTAGAGGAAGTCAGTGATGTAACTTCCATTGACTTCAGTGGGGCAGAATTAATCCCTGTATTACGGAATCTTAAAAAGTACTGTACCAATCAAACGATGAATAAACTGCAAGAAATGATGTGTGACATACAAATGCCTGTGTTTGTATTAGGCCTTCTTTACATTTCACGCCTTCCTGGTTCCAAACATATAATTAATTCAGTAAAGTATTTTTGTGACCATTTCCTCCTGCCCCTCCTGCCATAAATGTTTTAGGTATTTTTGTTTCTAGGAATATTCTCTTTAAATTTTTCAGTAAAAAAGTTTTTAAATTTGAGATCTTAAAAACACATTTTGTCAGGCTTTGTGCAACCTAAAATATAGACAAAAATACTTAAATACCCAGTTATGTGACAGAAGAGTAACATTACTGAAAGCACTCAGCTTAAAAAAAAACATCATCCTTGTGAATTAAAATTCAGACTGGGATACTAACATTTTGAAAATATTCAGAATTCATGACTAAGCTTCTTTGTTCTTATTTTCTTTTCCTGGCTAGTAGCAAAAATTTTGTATGGCTCTAACTTCCATGAGCATCTGTCCAAAATGGTCTGTCCTCAATTCAAAGAATCCCATGATATTTGGGATTCTTTAAACTCTCTTTTGCAGGAAGAGAAGGATGTAAAATAGATTCTGAGACTGATGTGCACTTTATATGATCTACCAGAACTCCATACAATTTTAGAGCTAAAGTTTTATATCTTGACTTCACTCTTAGTTTGGTAAAACACCTGTAGGTTAAATTTTGATTTTATTTGTACTGATGTAACTCTACTTAAGCCACTGAACACCATCTTTCTTCCCCTATATGCTGAAATCACTACTCTGAATTGTATTAAGTATCCAAAATGATAAAGGTTTGGAACTGGAAACTTCGAAATCAGCATTTTAGTCCAAACTTTGCCATGAACTTTCTTAGAGAACTTTAGCAAGTCACTTAACTTCTCTGTGCCTGTAAATTAAGGATAACAACACCATTAATTTAACAGAAGGCATTGTAAGGTTTAATTCATTAAAGTTTGCAATGTGTCCATATCCTGTTTTGAATATTTCAGTCCAATATACTGTTCTTTACACAGTGTTCATATTAAAGTGACTGCCCTGGAGCATGGGCAACATCCTGGAATGCAACTTATGGGCAACATACTGGAATGCATCACATTTTTGTCAAGAAGCTGATATTTTTGCTCTTTTGGGCACCAGAAAGTCTGAGTAGGCAATCATTTTTCTGCTCATTGTTCCTTTAGTTACCTAAATATTACCCACATTTTGGCAGTCAGAGATATGCTTCCGTATCTCAGATACTGTTATATGGGAACAGAAGGTTAATGTTTCTGTTTTAATGGTAACCACTGTGCTAAATATTTGTCCATCATAGATAATTCAGAGTGCTAACATGCTTTCTGTGTCAGAAATAAGCTATAACTTGAGCATCATTTCCACTGCTCTAAGTTCCAATTACAGCAGGCTATATTTCTGTGGTGAAACTTTCAAGAATATGTGACAGTTGTGTGACCAAAGTTTACAGTTAAATGAATTTATTTGTACTGTATCTCATTTTACATGAAGGGTAGAAAATGGCTTGGTTTTACAGTTGTTTAGAAATCAAGTTGATGAGCTATGGAAGAAAAGAAGTGAGATTAATAAACAAAAATGAATGAGTTATTACTGATTGTCACATAGTCGATATGTATTGAAATACAGGAAAGTATGGTGAGCCAGATAGCTATTTTCACCAGTAAGGCTGAAGGATTTGGAAAGGCATTATAAATCATAAAATCAACGAGTAGCAATCATATTTCTTTACAGTAACACAAAGGATAGTGAGCTCGTGAGTCAGCTGTTGGAGTAAATCAAACATTTATCATGTAATACTATTTTTTTCTACCTGTTTCAGATATGCAACTTTACCATGGATGTATCTTATGTCCAGATTCTTCTCAAGCTCAGACATAGCTTTCATTACGTATATCTCCTTAAACTTTGTGTTTGGCCTTTGTACCATGCTGGTGACTCTCTTGCCTCGTTTGTTAGCTGTGATCTCCAAAGCACAGGTCAGTATGAACTCTGAGCGCCACTTACCATAAGCAATGCGTATAGGAATGTGTTTTCCAATGCCAAATACTTGCAGTTTAAATTGTAATGAAATAGTTCACTTCTTTATCCTGAATTGTTATAGGCTATTGCACACCACAACATTTTATAAGCCCATTGGCCATTTGGCTTGGCTTTAAATTAAAAAAAAAAGAATTCTAACAATGCAAAAACAACTGTAATTGAAATTGTAATATTTTCTAGATATTTAATTCATAATTTGCACATAATGAGAGCAATTCAGATCCTCTCTAAATGTGCATTGCAAATTTTGTTTGAATGCTACAGGTTGAACCCCTCAAACTCAGGACTCTTTGATCTGGCAACATCTGTGGTCCAGCAAGGTGATGGATGTTGCTGGACAAAAGAGCTCCAGGAGCACAAGCCAGCTGGGAGAATGTAGGATCTGTGGAGTCCCAGCTGGGCCAGCAGCATCTAGGCAGGGGATCCGCAGCATCAGTGTGGTCAGGTCGCTGGAGAGTCCCTGGTAGTGGGGCCAACAGCAACCAGGTGGCCCTGGCCAGAGAACCCTGGGAACCCCATAGCATGGCTGGGCAGTCCTGACCAGGAAACCCCCGGTGGCAGCAGGACCAGGCAGTGACCCAGGAGCTTCAGCTGGGGAATCCTGGCGGTGGGGCTAGGTGGCAGCCTGTAAGTCCTGTCCCCCAGCAGCAGCAGGGGCAATGAAAGGGAGCCTCAGCCAGGCCAGCGTTAGAAGAGCAGCAGCGGGGCAGGGAGCCTCAGCCTTAAGAGCCCCAGGTAGAGGAACTGGCAGTGGGGCAGTCAGCAAGGGAGCATTGATCTTCCCTGGTTCAGCAAACTCAGTCCAGGACGGTTCTGGTCCCAAGGGTGCTGGACCAGTGAGGTCCAACCTGTATCGACGTAAGTGGTATATCTCCTTTAAACAAGTGGTTTAGTGTGCGTACCCTCAGTGCGCATGTGTAACACCCATTAGTGTTAATCTCAATGGGAATTATGCATGTGAATTAAGACAAGGAGATGGAAGTGCCTTAATGTTTCAAGATATGTATAAATACGCAACATTGAGGAAGTGATGTTTCAGTACAGTTCTGGATTAAATTTTGGTTGAGGTTTGAGGGCTCACATTTGAAGCAGAATTTGGATTATTGTTGTGGCTCAGTTTTTCTGGTACTCAACTCTTAAAACTGCAAGGACTTGTGAGTAAACTGACTGTGATCATTCTTTTGTACTTCTATTTTGCAAAATGTACATAATGTATTGCAGAAGCACTATATCTGGTATGGTACTGCTCCTAAGCATATTCTTGTCATAGTACCTTATCCAGAAAAACTAGGCACATTTTGTTTATATATAATATTCTGGACAAAATTAGTTCCCTAAAAAGTTTCTGTACAGAGTGTAAACAATTGCTATTTGTATTATGGCAAACCCCCGGTGTCAGCAGGACCTGACAGTGACCAGGGAGCTCTGGCTGGGGAATCTTGGTGGTGGGGCCAGGTGAACCCAAACCCATAAACTAGGCACCACACAAACTTAGAGCAGGAAATCTCTATCCAAAATAAATTGTGAACTACAATTGCATATGCACTTAAGTTTTCAAAATTGTGAAATGATTGAGGACCTGCTTCTTATCTTTCAGTTCTGTAAACAAGAATAGAATCCACTAATTCTGCTTAGACTTAGCTTAATTTTCAATTGCTAAGAGATTTAACATTTTCTCCTCCTTGCTTTTGCCAAACCTCACCCAGTTCCTTTCTTTTGCAGAGTTTTCAGAATATCTACAACATCCTCAAATGGGCTTTCATTGTTTTCCCACAATTCTGCTTGGGTCAGGGTTTACTAGAGCTTTCCTACAATCAGATCAAGTTTGACCTGACAAGCAGCTTTGGAATTGACTCTTATGTGAGTCCTTTTGAGATGAATTTCCTGGGTTGGATCTTTGTGGCAATGGCCTTGCAGGGCACAGTTATTCTCCTCCTGAGATTTCTGCTACACTGGGATCTGTTCCAGAAAACCAGGTATGTAGTGTGTATTATTTATACTCTGCTTTCATGGACACTGACTGATTTCCCAAAGGCAGAAGAAGATTAAGTCCTTCTGAAAACAAGAAGATAGACTATCTGATGATTAGTCTGTTTGGCTCTAATGAGCACATGCATTATGGTTTCTATTTCTGTATCTTTATTAGCCTCCTAAGCTGGGAAAGAGAATTTCAAAAGTTACTCAAATAAACCAGATGGAAGAATGTGTTCAGTTATTTGATTAACTTATAAACCATGAGCAGTTTTCCATGAAGTTCCTTAGCTCTAATAGCAATTCTGTTGCAGCATCTACAGAAGGAATTTTGCCATTATTATAATATTTTAGATTTTCTCTATTTAACATTAATTGCTTGACTCCAGGAGGCAGAATTTCCAGGAAAGCTGTGTTGGTAACAAATGACCAGTCTCTGATGTCCACTCCTCCTCCTTTTCCCATGAACCAATGTACTGAAAGATCATGTTGGAAACAAGCAGTCTTCTCCTTGTCCTTTTAAAATGCTTCTGATAGCTTGTCTTTATTGTGAAACATTTTATCAGTAATAACTGCGTCCTGCCCTAAGTATGGTCCGTCTTGTAATATGATGAATTCTACTAATCTCTGCTTCTGAAGTTTGATCCTGCTGCCCCTGAACCTGCCTACTCTGCAGAGGCTTGCTCTAGACCTGTTTTTGCATGGGAAAAATGATAGGACAGAGCATGAGGATAGAGATGACAAAGGGTACTTATATGCTTCAAAACCACCTGCACACAGTAGATTTGTGTAGAATTACTGATGGCTTAGGCAGCATTATTTCCCATTTTGTGACTTAGCTCTGTGAAATTAGAGAGAATTGTAGTAGGCACTGAGCCCATGGCAGTCTACTAGACTTGACACACTGCTATATATGGAGAGACAAGAGGCTAGGACATGCCAAGGTTAGAGGCTGTCATCTCTGTGGTCTTTAGCCTTCATCTTGTGCTGCCATTTTGGACCAGAGAGGGAGTATGCACTTTATACTCACATTTTGTGCATCTTCAACTGCTTTTACTCAACAGGGGGGTATCTGGGCTATACAATAGTTTAGCATTCCGCTTTCCTTATTTGTGAGGATCCCAGAACCAGGCAGGCAAAGTGTGTGTTAAATAAGAGTCCCTTGAAAAGTTTCTAAAAGCCACCTGATATTTCCAGCTTCTCCAGCAGAATCTTTCTCATGGCCAGGCCAATGTCATGGCAGGCTTTAGTTTTTAATTATTTTAATAGAACAGACAAAGTGTTTCTATTCTGTGGGTTACCTATGTACCTGCCTGTTTTGCTTATGTCTCTTATCCCTGTTTTTCCATTGGTTGTGTATATCGATGTTATAAAAGAATGAGGCGAGTATTCATCAAAAAAGTTGCATTGTGGACTCATACTTTAAAGTAATTTTATTTTGTATCTTAAAAACATTCCTAGGTGCATTTCACTCTGTGCAGACTTCTCTCCATGCTCAAATGGCATTTCAGTCTAACTTCAGTTCGCCGATTTCCCCTAAGAAATATGTTATTTCCTTCCATAAAAAAATGAAATACAGACCATGTTTGCCAGAATGAATGAAAATTGCAGAGCAAATGTGTAGGGGTTGCTGTGAAGCATTGGATCCCGTTGAGATTTGAATGGATGAACTTTAATGTAGCAAAAGCTTTGGAACTTGCTGGAAAAATACTAAAGAAACAATTTTTATCAATTGGTCAGCCTGTGAAAATTCAAATGCTACATGTGTTAACAAATGGAGCCCAGGCTCCAAAACAAACTATATTTTGGTTCCATTAACATTTATGAGTTTGGGATCTTTTTTGTTCTGATTTGGGTTGATTTTTTCCCCTGAAATGTCAGGAATATTTGTAGAACTAAAAGTTGTTTCCCTGCCATCTCTAATATGCACAGAAGTGCTCTTTTTAGTGATCCACTAAATGACACTGTAAAATTTGCCATCTTTTCTTCTCAGGACTCATTGTTCCATCAGCAGCCCAGTCAGTCCTTCTGAGGATGAGGATGTAGAAGTGGAGCAAAAGAGGCTCTTTGGTGGAAAAACTCAAAATGATATCCTCCTATTGTACAATCTCAGGAAATGTTATCGAGGTTTCAGCAAGAAAAAAACCGCTGTAAAAGACATTAGCTTGGGGATACCAAGGGGAGAGGTAAAAGATTCTATTGCTTTGCTTTTCATTTCTCTTCAGAAAAAAAGAATAAAAACCCACACAATTTTGTAATCATGGGCAATTGTTCTGGCATGTTGAGAGAGTCTGAAATCAAAGCTCTCTGGTTGCTAGCAGATGCCTTCCAATAGCAGTAATTTCTGAGAAATCGATATTGTTGAGCAGAATTGAAAGTACTGCCACGGAGTGTTAACATTTTAGAAGCAATTGTTGGTGATTGATATATTACTTTCTGGTGTACGTTTCTTTTGTGTATATGTGTGTACATTGCATCAGAGAGCACTATTTTTTGGCTTGTTTTTTATGGAGATGTTGTATGGATTAGAGTAACCTAAAAGATAAAAAGCAACATAGATTTACAGTCAGTTCTTATTTGGAAGTATTGTTTATGCAAAAACTACACTGCATATCTTGTTAACAATTCACAGACCGTAAACTAAACTCTGAATTATCATTGAGTTTTGTCTGAGTTACAAACAGGATTGCCCTTAAGATTTATGAGGCCCTATGCAGTGTTATTAAACTGGTGCCCCTATGGCAGCCAAGGAGAAGGGGGAGATGATTTTTTGGCGATGTGATTTTTATAATTTTCAGCAGCACGCCAATGAAATATTTTTAAAACAAATTGTAAACTAAGGTCCTGAATACTAACACAGTAAATTCAACAAATGATCTGGTAGCACTTTATAGACTAATAAAACATGTAGATGGTATCATGAGCTTTTGTGGGCACAGCCCACTTCTTCAGATGACCAGAGTTATGAATTTAGGATGTGCAGACCCAGAATAAATGGGGGAGAGGGGAGAAGGAAAAAAAGGAAGGGGGCGGGAAACAAGGAGCAGAAGATATGAAAATATCAAAGGGAAAAACAAGTAGGCAGAACTGGTAAACTCAGAAGCTGACAGGGATTGGCAAGTGCCTGTTAAATGGCTTGATTATCACTTGAATGGCTCTTTCAAAGCTTCTGCTAATAGGTCTCACTGGCTTTTTCACTTTTAAGTTAACTAGATTCTCTTCAGAGGAAGCAGAGCCACAGAACAGGGGTAAGAAGAAGTATTAGGAAGCATTAAGACCCAGTGATGCCCAAATTTACGGGTTCCCTACATAACTGCATATTTTGCATATGGTTAGGGATGGCTCTGGTTAGGAAAGGGTTTAAAACCAAAAAGGATTTCAGCCTGTGGAAACAGTCCCAGTATATGTTAATGAATGCAAACCTAAATCTGAATCTTTAAACAGTGGACCCTAAGATGTCAGAGAAATGTTAATTAGTTTTTCCAGTTTTAAGATGCACGTGGAGGTTTAACTTCTAAAAATGCATGTGAGGAATTATTGCCTTTATTCCATAAATGCTGACAAGGAAGGGAGGGAATATCCTGGTTCCTCATAACCAGTTGGAGGAGGTGAGACACAAGTGCATGACACTGTGGGTTTCAGTGATCAACTGCTATGAAAAATGGCAAACACAAAACTCATTATTGCTAATGTAAGCCTACATATCAGACTTTTAATTAAAACATAGATAAAAGTATAAATAGTGTAATTAAAATAACATACACCACTAGAATGCAAGCCTTGTTGTAGCATGGATACATGTTGCAGTGCTTATCTCAATGACATGGATGTGCAGAAGGTTCTACCCTGCTATTAGCACATACTGTGCAGTGCTGGGTTTGGGGCACACTTGGTTAGCACATTTCAAACACTGCCAACCACAATATTGACCTGTTAGTGTACCACATGCTAAGGAACAACATGAAAGGCCTCAGTGCTTGTAAAAATTAAATTATCTCATTACTGTCACATCAGCTGCAGATACGTAGTCGAATGTGCATACAACCTAACTTCTAGCGCCTCTTTAAGACACTGTCCTACAACCTGTGCACCTCCCTCCAAATTCCAGGCAAGTTGATATATTTTGGGTGGGGAGAGTGGCAAATTGAACAGCTCATAGCTGATCCCTTCATGATCATCCTTGCCCCCTGAGGTGGCTGTTAATGTACTCAATGTGGTGCAAAGAGCAACATCTGAGTTTTGGGTTCTAGTTGTTTGATAGGAAGGTGAGCACATTTGATCATTAGAGAATAATATAGTTGTTTCATCAAACAACCTTATGCCTGCCCTGGTAGCCTCATTCCCAATGCAGCCCTTTTCTGATGTGGTAACTGAGGGTATGTCTAGACTGTGGATTTTTTTCTGGGACACCAGAGTTCTCCTGAGAAATCTCTGCTATGTCCAAGGAAAACATCTGCTCTTCCCAAAAAAAATTCAGAAGAGCAGATGCGTTTTTTCGGCATCCCTGTAAACCTTGCTCTCTAAGGAAGAAGGGATGTTCCAAAAAAGGGTTTTTTCCCCTTATTTGGCCCAGTGTAGATGGACCAAATGTCAGAAAAGCCTCTTTTGAAAAAAGAAGTGAAAAAAGATATGCAAATTGTGGTTTGCAATTTGTGTATCTTTTTCCAGAAGAACTGTGTAGTCTAGACACAGCCTGAGACATGGCAAGGAATTATAAAGATGTGCAATGTTTCAGTCCACATGCATTCTGAAGGGTGGATAAAGCAGATTTAAATCTTCATTCTGCAGTGATGTCAGTGAAAAAATTGTATTTCAAGACCGCCCACAACACTGTGGGAAAAGAGGTGAGATGTTGCAAAGTGGGATTTAGGAAATTTCTGAAAACTTTATCAACAGTAATCAAAAAATATTTTTATTACATTGTGTTTTATGTCTGAATTCTTTTTTAAAATGAATTCAGAGGTACTGGGTGGGTGGATGTGTAAGGGTGTACACGCAGACACACACGGGCTGTGTCTAGACTGCATCCTTTTTGCGGAAAAGGGATGCAGATTAGACACAGCGCAATTGCAAATGAAGCGGGGATTTAAATCTCTCCCGCTTCATTTGCATGAACATGGCTGCCGCTTTTTTCCGGCTCGGGGCTTTGCCGGCAAAAAGCACCAGTCTAGACGGGGATCTTTCGGAAAATAAAGCCTTTTCCGAAAGATCCCTTATTCCTCTTAAAATCAGGGATAAAAACCATGTTCATGCAAATGAAGCGGGAGAGATTTAAATCCCCGCTTCATTTGCAATTGCGCTGTGTCTAATCTGCATCCTTTCTCCGCGAAAGGGGTGCAGTCTAGACACAGCCACGGAGTATTAGAGTATGCGCCTTAGAGACAGAGGAGCGTGCATGTGTATGAAAATATGCATTCCCATGTCACTAGGTGATTTTGAAATGTACACACCCACATGTGTGTTCTCCACAAAACTAGTGCATGAGTGGGGAAAAAAAACAAAACCAGGATGAAATGTTAATGTTCTTAGTTGTGATATCGCTTACAGATAATGATTACTTTTTTTCTTCCCTCCACTCTTAGTGCTTCGGGCTCCTGGGAGTAAATGGTGCTGGGAAAAGCACAACATTTAAGATGCTGACTGGAGACATCACCCCATCTGGGGGGCGTGCTGTTATCAAAACTCCTACAGGGTAAATAGCATAGAGCTGGATCAGAATACTGTTACTTGATTATAAGGCTTATGATCAAACCTACAGAAGCCTCAGCATGCTTCGAGGTCTTTATACTGTATTCTAAGGAGTTGTTTGTGCCCTTTCACAATTCACCACACACCACAATATTACAAAGTCTATGGTGCCAAACAAAAAAAAACTTTTAAATCCAGCTGATTGAGTTAAGCAATTTGAACATTATTTAGTTTTGTCTGGCAGCTCAGTTAATTGGGAATGGGTTGGCTAAATAGCAATAGAGTGGGAGGTTGGAAATATAAGAACAGGTGCACAAACGCACATCCCCATAAATCAATACCAGATCAAAAGATTTTCACTGTTTGGCTCATTAGCAGCACTAGGAAGGGCTAATTTCTAAATGCTTAGCAGAACCCCCGGATTCATCAATGAATCATTAAGTGCAAGGAAGAGCAGGGGACACGGTTCCCTCCGGCATAGAGTTATTAACGCTGGCCACACTGATTGCCTTGATTTTGGTGCTCTTCATTTGCAGTGTTTTTATTTTCAAGGAGTTATATGTAAAATGTAAATAAAAAAACAACCCAAAAATAAATGTTAATATACCAAAACTCCTATAAGCCAAGTGTAGGAAAAATTTAGATGGAGAGTGATTGAAAAGATTAAGATATTATAGTTTTAAAAAGGAGAATAAAATGTGTCATGCCAGTGGTTAAATGAAAAAGTTTGTAGCCCTGAATGTATATAATGTATGTATGCCCATGTCTTCAAAACTGCATATTAGAACAGGCAAGTGGTAATGAGGAAGCTGTCACCATAGGTCAGAGATTCAGTTGTAAAGCATTTGTCGACCGTATTTGGAGAATGAGTGAATAGAATACCAAAACAAGTGGTAAGAGGAAACTAATAGTGATTTATGGCTGCGTCCACTTTCACTTTCCCTCTCCCCCACTGTTACCTTAATGCTTTAGCGTCTACTGCTAAGGCAGGCTGACCAGCCTAGTGTTGTCAGTTGAAAAATGTGCACTCACTCTTTGAGACTCTCTCTTATGACCAGATTGACCAGATGCCTGCTGAGAGAGGGAGAGAGGATGGGGGGGAAGCATACAGAGGTGGCCTACAGATGTGGCTGGTGCTGGGAGAGAGAGAGAGAGAGAGAGAGAGAGAGAGAGTGCTCAGTGGTGGCTGTTGCTGTGAGGCACTCATAATTTCCCAAGAAGCCACTTAGAATAGCTTTGGGAGAATGTTCTGACAGGTGAGGATTGCTGGAACACACCAGCAGTTTGGCCACATTCCCTTTCTCCAACCATGCTCCCTTCATTGGATGTACGCGGCTTGAAATTTCCCCAGGCAGCATTCACTCTAACCTTCCTCCAGTGCTTTTAGTAATTTTCTGATGTTGACTGTGATCAGATGAAATTGTTGGTGAAATTGAAAAGCCAGAAAGATTGGGGTGTGTGACTGTGGTGTGTGTCTCACTTGAGCTAAGGTTGAATGCAGGAAAATAAGGAGACAAACAAAAATGTCTATGGGGAGGTATAACATGAGTTTAACTTGTTCTCTTCTTGATCAATCACTCTTTTTGATGTAATTGAAAAATTGACCCAGTTTAAAAAGAACATTAATAAAATGCCTCCTCAATCCAAGCCACACAGTTAAACAAGAAATGCCGACACAAGGAAATAGGCTATTTTGAGTTATTTTGGTTTTCTAGTTGGAGAGTGTCATAAATGTTTCCCAGTTCCAGAATTTTCTAAACTGCAGTCTCAGTTAAACCTTACAGAAAATAGAATGTCAGTGACCAAATCCTGGCTCTTTAACTACCACATTTATGTGAGTCTGTAGAGCAAAAACAACATTGAAAGTTCACCGAGTCATAGAAAGGCTTCTGCTCCTCTAATTTGTTGTGCACTGAAAGATGCTCTCCAAGGACTCTGTGTGCACTCAGTAGTTTCTCTTACATCAAGGAAAGTCAGTTGTAAATTTCCAAAAAAAAATTTTTTCTCCTAAGTTTAAAGGTCTGTTTACCAAGAGTAAATGTGCCCCGTATAAAGAAAAGGAGGAAAGCGGCTGCATTTTATTTGTGCATGAATAGTCCATGGGCAAATGTGGAGACAAGTGGGAGCCGGGGGGAGTGCACAAAGTCTTCTCTTTTCCCTGCTTTCCCTTTCCTCCTCCCCACCACCCACAAGGCAGTTGAAGGCCCAAGCATTCCTCCTGCAGAAGAGAGTAGGGTGGGACCCGGGCCTCACACTCCACTCTCACTGGCTGCCAGCCATCTCAAATTCTTTGCCACTGGGAGCAGCCACTGATAGACTACCTGGGCAGTGGCTCGAAGAAACACTCTTGCTCATAGTGTGTGTGGCTGAAATGAGCACACATCCTGTATCTCAAGATTTTTTCATCTTTATCTTGGGAAGATTCTACAAACCTCTGTTTCAGCACTACCATTTAGCTTAAGTTTATCTCATGAAAAACAGCTGAAAGTACTACTTTTAATGGTCATTTCCTACACAGTACACAATCTACAGGATATGTCATGAAAAAAGAAGCTGAATCCTTCCTCCACAATTAGATGTTGCGTATCCCTCCCTGTCCTGGTTTACTATGTACGTGTTAAGTTATTGGTATAGATATTTGACAATCCAATTGATATTACTAAAAGGAAGAGATAATTTAAAAAAGAATCCAAAACAGCTCAAAAGGCCTCATAACAATTAAATATTTTCCTACATGCCTTTATATTGCAATATGATAATGCAAACTGAAATAAGGAAATCAGAAATGGCCAAATGCACTAGTGGAGTAATTCTATTGACGTCATTGTAACAGCACGATTGAATTTGACCCAACATCTTTTATACCAAAAGTCCATTGGTTAGGCCCAGAAATTTAAGACAAGATTTTCAAAAGTACCCAGTAATTTGTTTTGGTCTACCTGAACTAAAGGTGCCTTATTTTCAGAAAGCGCCTCATGCCACTCACCCGCTGAAAAATAAAGCCCCCTTTAAGTTGGTACTCAAAAAATAGGCACAGTTGGAAATCTTGAATTTAAAATTTGGTTGTCTATTTTTTAAAAGACAACAATGTATTTGAAAATGTTCATATGAAAGGAAGCTTTTTTCATGTATTTAAAAAATAAGCATTGAAAATCATTTTGTAAATGTTAGAGGAAACCCAAAACAAAAAGCACTGCAAAGTACATGAAAACCAAAGAAAAAAAGGAGTCCTCAAGTTTCACTATTCAAGTTGGGCAAAATGCATTAAAAGGTGGAAAGAAATAATATTTTCAAATGTCATGCATATTGAAAAATACAAGTTGTTATTGATAAGGCACCTTGTTTTTAAATAAATGGGGCCAAATTTATCTGTCCTAAAATTCCACAGTTTACAATAATATCTTCTTAGGGATGTATGTGTCCCATAATTTTTATTACAATACTATTTCTTTAATGAAACCCAAAGTAGAAGTGTATTTCAAGTGGTCTCTGTGCCTTTACTGTGATAGGTTTCACTGACACAATAAATGTGTTTCAGTAGGAAATTCAAAGGTCCACAATCAGTTCACCAAATAATTGCATTTTTTATTTTAGCGTTCCTCCTTGGATGTGAAGGCTGTAAGCAAATAATGTGGTTTTACTACCAAGTTCTAGCTGTAATTAATCACTCCAATAAAAATATTCCTGAAAAATACAAATTTAGTAGTAATTACAACCAAACATGACACAATAATAGCCATGTACCACTTAAAAATGGTTTTGCCTTTTTTCATAGTGTGCACCTCAGTAGCATGGACATAATTCAGTGACACAGTCATCCAATTTATATATACAACTGATTGTTATATACCAGTAATGCTTTCCAGTTAGTCCTTAGAAAACAAACAATAGGCCAAACCAAGGAACAATATTACAAGCAGTCGCTCTGGAAGATGTGACTCTGTGGAATACTGTAACTCCCATTGACAGAGATCAGAAATATTAAAAGAGCAATACAAGACACAACCAGAATCAAAATCATATTAAAAAATTTAAAATATCCTTACCTATATTAAAATAATGACACTATAACATATATTAGGAAAATCTGGCTACATATTCAGTTTTTGAACAATATCTGTACACCCTTGCCATCAACAATATGATACTGGATTCTCATACTGTAAGGAATAGAATTGTATAACATGTACTCTTAAAAGCACACATGTACGATATATAGAATGTCTAAATGGTAAACAAAAGGAGACCATAGTGTCCCCCATTTAGGTACCACTGCCAGAAACTAAATATCACTTCCATGCCACACAAATAGGCATTATATCTCTCTGCTATTTTCTTAGATATTTTAGCTGCCTTGTTCCCCCCCCAACTCAGTTATCCTCCTTTACTTTGCCCCAACTTTCTTCAAGGAGCGTCAATGACCCTGCTTCTAAAGAGGGCTAGACAGAAATCCCATAGGAGGATGTCAAAGCATTTTCAAGTATTAGCCAGAGACCAGCATAAGAGACCTTGACAATTGCTTTGGATCTTACTTTACAGATGCTTAAGCTTAAATCTCAGCATATATTAGTGTTTGAGTGCTTTGACAAATAGTCATGAATTTAATCTTGTGGTTAAGGCAAAGCCCGTGTTTAAGTGGTTTACTGATTTGGAGTTTGATTGGCAAGGATTAGACAGGATGAGTAGAAGTTGACCTATTGAAACCAATGGACAAAATAATTAACATCTGACACTCCTTCCAATATGACTGATTTAATTTCCCTTTCATGCATTGTGGTGTACAGACAGATTCTCTATTACAGAAAGCCCCATTCGTATTTGAACTAGAAGTCACTTTTTATCTACGCTCTTGGATTAAAAGATCATTAGGCCAGAGGGTACCTCTCCAAAGATGAGAAACTACAGTATTTATTTTCAACCATATCTGGGGCTATTTTCATGGTTATGATATTCAGCTTGATAAATAATTAAAAATGTAATTCAAATAGCTTCACTTCAAAAGCA